TATATAATTTAAAAAAAAACAATAGATGTGTACCATCCGCACATACAATATTTGTCGGTAAACACGGAATTGGAGTTTTTGCATGTGTGCTGCTGTCTAGGCACCAGTGACTGCATGTACCCCCCCTCTCTCCCAATGCAAGATGACTGCCATTGGCTGGTTTTAGTCGATTAACGCTTAACTTGAAAGGAGGAATATAGTTGGCTGAACTGAAATTTACATGCAAGGTCATGTGGCTGATTTTGTCCTCATTTTGAGATTAACAACTCGAATATCCTACATTTTTTTTTAATGTGTCAATTCAGTATGGCTCTGAATTTACAGTTTTCTGTGCCAGCATGAACACATATGGGAAGGACCCCAATGTTTTATATGATCACAATACACAAATGGGTTCTCCATTTTCAGGAAGGCAATGAACAGAACAAATTTTGAAATTAAAATGTAAAAAGTCAAACATACCCAATGACTGTGGTGATGATGGTGACGTAGTAATAGCATTCGTCATAGCCTCATCATCTGTGTCTGATGCATCACTGCCAACACATAGTTTCTCTGAGGAACGGAGCAAACACAGATAAAACTTAGATCATATGAACACCAAAACGTATACAAGGGTGGGCCTTCAATGTACACGTCAATAGGTAAAAAGTTACCTTTTATTGTGAAATTGTTCCCTGTAGCATGTTGCAGTGTAACGGTTGACTCGTTTTTCAGAAACTGAGGCATTGCCGTCACAATTTACACTTGCTACCAACTTTAACGACACCAACAGAAATAACGTTCAATCGTTGATTAAGGGTGCTAAAATGACTTAATTATGCTGACACTGTATTCTACCGCATCTGTTGTCAGTGTTTAGTGGCCACTCAAGCATCATTGATGCTGACGGTCTGACACAGTTGCCGTTCCTAATGGTCACTTTTTAACAAACCAGGCTTACTCAAATGTGCCATTTTAGCCGGCGACATCGTTACTGTAGTTGTGTCGTCATTTGGCCAACAAGTACATAGCTCATTTCAACCCTTCAACAGCAACACTGAACAATAAAATGCAAAACAATTCATTAAACCATTATATCTTTTGTTTCTACAACCTGATATTCAAATAATCAAATAAAATGTTAGTCTAACACAGTAGGGCTGCTCAGTTCTAAAAAATATATATATTAATCACGATTATTATGTCTTTCATTAAAAGCACAATTATTCAAACGACCATTTATTTTTTTGGGGACAAAGCAAGAAAATGTTTAAGCATTAGGAATATATATCATTAAGTTCCTCTTGGTCCAAACAAAATTATACAAATTTGTTATCCAACCATCCATTTTCCGAACTGCTTTATCCTCACTAGGGTCGCGGGGGGTGCTGAAGTCTAAAGATTTGACACTTCAACTGATTTAGCAAGTTTTAAAACTTTTAAAACCATGTCTATGAGTGAATAGTTTTTAAGTTTTTAATTTTATTTCATTTGTGTCAAAGTATAGTTCATCGAACGTTGCATTCAGGAAATTCAGGTCTTTGTACCTTGGTTGACATGTCTGCTTGAGCCTTCTCATATCTTTCATGTCTCTTTAAACATGCAATGTTGTTTTCTTTATACATCTGCTTGCGCTGCATCCAACGACTTTGATCCTGCAAACACAAAAAGCATTTAGAGATGTTAATCGTGTAGTTTCTTTCTATGTATTGATTTGTCTTTTATGGCACTTTTGGATATATAAAAAAAATAATTATTATTTTTGCCATAATCGCCAACCTTGGTTAATGGCTTGATCTACATTATTCAATGTCATGAGCTAAATCAGCCTTCCTCAACTGGCGGACCGCGATCCACGACCGGACCGCCGACCTCCTCTGTCCGGACCTCCTCTGTCCGGACCCTCAGCAAATTGTATAAAATAATAATTTATAGTGATTTTTACGTTATACATTTTGTATTTGTGGACTATATTCTGCGCATTACCGCGATCGCTTGTTAAAATTATCCGTTGTATTCTTTGTGCACTAACAGATGTATTGCAGAGGACCGCAGCAGCGCGACTGTGTGTTGTATAATGTTTGACTCACTGAAGACCCTGGCTGAGCAGGGCATGTCGGCGATAACGACGCGCTGATTGGCTCCTCTGAACTTAAGATGTGCCCATACATAAGCGTCAGCATATACGATGCGCTGATTGGCTCCTCTGAACTTAAGTGTGTGCAGTTTTGCTCCCGTCTACCCGGGGATCTTTGCAGCTGTTTAACAGCAGAACACCACAACATGGTAAATAAACAGAACAATGGCGTCCTCAAATAATATTTGCATGCCTCAGACATTGCATTCACTTTTAGTGGAAGAACAGCACTGCACATTCCTGTGCTCCCTTGTGTCAGTATTTAAAATGGTTCTTAACTCCTCTTCTGATATGTTTTTCAGTGATTTCAGAGGGGATGTGAAAAGGGGAATTGTACAAATGAAAAGGATATTTTTGTTTTCATGGTTAGTATTTATTTTGGTAAAATGAGTATTTTGTTTTGTTTTTGTTAAATTATGGGAAAAAAGACAACTACTGTTTAACAAAGTTAAAGTAAAACTGTCTTATTTCCCTAAAAGGGCTATTTCTATTATTAAGCAGGCACAACTTAACAAAATAAGAGTTCCTGTGCCTCAACACAATACCTCTCATTATTTGCTGTGCACTGGCAAAGTGAATAATTATTTTCATGCACCCCATTATTGGTTGGCTGTGAGGAGTGTTCATTTGTATAAGCTTGGCTTGACCATACTAAATGGGCATATAGCCTTGCTCCCCATCACCGCCGTGCATGGGACCGGACCTTGGTCTTATTAAAAAAAATAAAATAAAAAAGTGGACCTACAGCATTTCTAGTTGAGGACCACTGAGCTAAATGATGAGTGTCCTTATTTCTGACACGAATTACAGTAAATGGCCTCTTCAAATTCAGGTATTACAAATGCTGCTGCTGTTATTCCTGCCTTTGGCTGTTTGGATCAGTCAGTATATTTTAAACACATCTGTGTTTGCGCACATGAACCGTAACAATACAATTGGCACTTTTTTCTGTATGCATCATTTTAATCTGACTGAATAAAAATCAACTAGTAATGTTACAATGTCCCACGAACCATGGTGGTGGCGGTAGCAACAGTCTCGCAAATACTATTTGTAAGATCAATTTAGCTCACCATAGTTACGCCCTTATCTGAACGAAATTGGCTCCACAGTCACGCGCTACGTGGTTAGCACAAGGCCGGGACAATCGAGCGCCAATTACAGCGCCTCGTTTTACTCCGCTAATAGGCCAACTAGTACGTTCATATATAAATACGTCCATAATCCCGACGACAGTAGTTTAAAAAGTAAATTTCAAAGCTACGAAGGAAACAAAGGCGTCGAAGTTTTGACCGTGAAGATGTTTGCATTTAGCCACAATGTGTCGACCTGCAGTTGCCTGCTACATTAATTGCAGGACCAGCAGCACAGTGTATCGGACACCTTGAGCACACCGGAGCAAATGCCGTCATACATGTCCTAACAACGTGCAAATAAACTTGACGGCACCATAGTATGGAAGTAAAATACGCACTCACCATTTCTCTTCATCCGGAAGCGTCTGAGTCCACCGCGTCTTCTCACTGTGGAGTCCTCGATTAGAGTCGCGCCAAATGCGAAGAGCGTTCGATTGATAACACGGGCTCACACCGCTTCACAGGTTCAATGTATAATTCACAAACAAAGTAATTCTGGGCCGCCCCTGGTATAACACAAACGCACCCTCAATCACACGACTTTACAGTTATATGCCACGGGGTCTACTACAAAAAGAGCAGGGATGCGAAATGCATTTTGGAAAAAAGCATTGAAACATTGTTCTATATTAACATTAATATTAATATCAATATTAATTCATTTATGGAAAGCACATTGTCTGGTTTAAATAAAATGCTATGTATATGGTATTACATTTTATAATTAGGAAATACACCCATCCATCCATTTTCTAACCGCTTTACTCTGAACTGGCTGCCAGCCAATTGCAGGGCAGACAGTTAAACAACCATTCACGCTCACAATCAAGCCTACGTATAATTTAGAGTGTGGAAATAAGTATTTTAAACAAAATTTCGAGTGGACATTTAAATTACTTCTCTATACCTTCAAATTCTATCATTATAATAATTTTTTTTTGCATCAACTTCCAATTCACATTAGCCGTTCCTAGTCAGGACTCACAAATATATCTAGTCGATAAGTGTATATTAAAGATAAGTATATTATTGACAGAGTGACGTATAAATGTGACTTCCAATTCACATCATACAGAGTCTATGGAACTGTAGATTTGTGTAAAATATGATCAGACCAAATCCTCTTGGCCCTCTTCCGTCTACTATGCAGGAAATAAGAATGTTGCTCATATTAGGACCACTGATGTCATTTTTGCTGGTCCGTTTTTGGGTGAAAATAGGAAAGGAATCAGAAAAATCACTTAATATAGTGAAAACATTGCTGAGTTAGCAACATTGATCAATGTTAGAGCACTTGCCCTCTACCTCGCTTGTACCAAGGTCCACACGTAGGCACATAAAATAGCACAACTTTCAAAATAACAGTACCATATATTTCATGTTTTATCATGATTTGAGTGGATGGGCAGCCGACTGGTTAGCACATCCACCTCACAGTACAGAGGTCCAGCATTTGAATCCGGGCTCTGGCCTTCCTGTGTGGGGTTTGCATGTTCTACCCCTTCGTGCATGGGTTTTCTCTGGGTACTCCAGTTTCCTCCCACTTTCCAAAAACCCATGGTAGCTTAATTGAACACTCTAAATTGTCTGTTGGTGTGATTTTGAGTGTGGATGGCTGTTTGAATGCGTGCCCTGCGATTGGCTGGCAAGTAGCTCAGGGTGTTCCCTGCTTACTGTCCAAAGACAGCTGGGATAGATTTCCAGCACACCCGCGACCCTCATGAGGAGAAGCGGTTTGGATAACGGATGGATGAATAATGACTTCAGGATCATTGTGAGGGCCAGTGAGAGACAGCGGCTGGGCCGAATGCACCTTTCCATAGGCTGTAATTTGCCCGGGTTTACGTTAGTGTCTATTTAATTATCTTTAGCTATCCTCAGCACCTCCTCCGTGGTGGAGGGGTTTGTGTGTCCCAATGATCCTCTGAGCTAAGTTGTCTGGGGCTTTATGCCCCTGGCTGGGTCACCCATGGCAAACAGGTTCTAAGTGAGGGACCAGACAAAGCAAAGACCCCTTATGACGGGGGATGCGAGGGACATTTAGTCTGAATGGACCATGTTCCGCGCCTCTATTGTTGAGGCGGCCAATCTGAGTTGTGGCCGTAAGGTGGTTGGTGCCTGTCGTGGCGGCAACCCCCGTACTTGTTGGTGGACACCAGCAGTAAGGGATGCCGTCAAGCTGAAGAAGTAGTCCTATCGGGCCTATATGGCTTGTGGGACCCCAGAGGCAGCTGACGGGTATCGACTGGTTAAGCGGAACGCAGCTTCGGTGGTCGCCGAGGCAAAAACCCGGGCATGGGAGGAGTTCGGTGAGGCCATGGATGCCGACTTCCGGACGGCTTCAAGGAAATTCTGGTCCACCGTCCGACGTCTCAGGAAGGGGAAGCATTGCACCACTAACACTGTGTACAGTGGGGATGGGGCGCTGCTGACTTCGACTCGGGACGTTGTGAATCGGTGGGCAGAGTACTTCGAAGACCTCCTCAACTCCACCAACATGCCTTCCTTGGAGGAAGCAGAGTCTGGGGACCCTTAGGTGGGCTATCCTCTCTCTGTGATTGAAGCCACCAATGTGGTTAAAAAGCTCCTCGGTGGCAAGGCCCCAGGGGTGAATGAGTTCCGCCCGGAGTACCTCAAGGCTCTGGATGCTGTGGGGCTGTCCTGGTTGACACACCTCTGCAACATCGCGTGGTCATCGGGGAGAGTGCCGCTGGATTGGCAGACAGGGGTGGTGGTCCCTCTTTTTAAAAAGGGGAACCGGAGGGTGTGTTCCAACTACAGAGGGATCACACTCCTCAGCCTCCCTGGTAAGGTGTATTCAGGGGTGCTAGAGAGGAGGGTACGTCGGGAAGTCGAGCTTAAGATTGAGGAGGAGCAGTGTGGTTTTCGTCCCGGCCATGGAACTGTGGACCAGCTCTACACCCTTAGCAGGGTCCTTGGGGGTACGTGGGAACTCGCCCAACCAGTCTACATGTGTTTTGTGGACTTGGAGAAGGCGTTTGACCGTGTCCCTCGGGGAGTTCTGTGGGAGGTGCTTCGGGAGTATGGGGTACCGAGCCCCCTGATCCGGGCTGTTCGGTCGCTGTACTGCCGATGTTAGAGTTTGGTTCGCATTGCCGGCAATAAGTCGGACTCGTTTCCAGTGAGGGTTGGACTCCGCCAAGGCTGCCCTTTGTCGCCGATTCTGTTCATCACCTTTATGGACAGAATTTGTAGTTGCAGCCGAAGCGTTGAGGTGGTCCGCTTTGGTGGCCTCAGTATTGCATCTCTGCTTTTTGCAGATGATGTTGTACTGTTGGCTCCTTCAAGCAGGGCTCTCCAACTCTCACTGGAGCGTTTCGCAGCTGAGTGTGAAGC